ACTCCTTATCAGAGATGACTTGTGAATATTTTCTCCCATTCCATAGGTTGTCTTTTTTGTTTCCTTTGCTGTGCAGAAGCTTTTTGTTTGATGTAGTCCCACTTATTTTTGCTTTGGTTGCTTGTACTTTTGGTGTTATATTAAAGAAATTGGTTCCAAGACCAATGCCAAGAAACTTTCCCCCTATGTTTTCTTCTAGGAGTTTTATGGTTTCAAGCCTTATATTTAAGTTTTTAATCTGAGTTAATTTTTGTGGTGTAAGTAAGGTGTCTACTTTTATTCTTCTGCATGTGAATACCCAGTTTCCATCCCCCACCCCCACCATTTACTGAAGAGACTACCCATACTCCACGGAGTATTCTGCGCTTTCCATTCTGTTCCATTGGTTTGTTCCATTGGTTTTTATGCCAGCATCATACTGCTTTTATTGCTGTAGCTTTGTAATGTAGTTTGAAATCAGGCACTGTGATGCCTCCAGCATTTTTGCTCTCAGAATTGCTTTGGCCATTTGGTTTTGTGGTTTTATATGAATTCTAGGATTATTTTCCTATTTCTATGAAAATGTCACTGGAATTTTGATTGAGGTTGCATTGAATTTATGATGACTTTGCATAGTATGAACATTTTAACAATATTGATTCTTGTAATCCATGATCACAAGCAGTCTTTCCACTTCTTTGTTTCTTCAATTTTTTTTTTCATGCAAGTCTCAATAGTTGCAAGTATACAGATCTCCTTGGTTAAAGCTATTCCTAAGAATTTCATTGTTACTTTTTAAACTTATTGGATGTATTGGGGTGACATTGTTAATAAAATTAAATAGGTTTCAGGTACACAATTCTGTAATACATCATCTGCACGTTGTATTATAGAATTTGGGTGTGCTCACTACCCAAAGTCGTCTCCTCTGTCACCATTTCTCTCTCCTTTACCCTCTTCTGCCTCCCCTCACCCCCTTTTCCTCCGGTAATCACCATATTGTTGCCTGCGAGTTGTTTTTTTTTACCTTAATCCCTTCACCTCTTCACTTATTTCACCTAGTTCCCCAAGACCCCGCTTCCAGAATTTGTTTTTGATGATATGGTGAATGGAATTTTCTTTTTCAGGTATTTCATTAGTATATAGAGATGCAACTGATTTTTGTATGTTGATTTTGTATCCTACAACTTTACTGAATTTGTTGATTAGTTCTAACAGTTTTTGGGTGGAGCCTGTAGAATTTTCTCCTTATAAGAACATATCTGCAAATAAGAACAACTTCTTTGTTTCTAATTTAGATGCTTCTTTTTCTTCCTGATTGTTCCAGCTAGGACTTCCAGAACTATGTTGAATGGGAATGATGGTAGTGGGCACCTTTGCCTTGTTGCTGACCTAAGAGAATAAACTTTCAGCCTGTAATTGTAGAGTATGATGTTGACTTTGGGCTTGTCATATATGGTCTTTATTATGTGGAGATTCATTCTTTCTACACCCAATCTTTCGAGAATTTTTATCACAAAGGGATAAATGCAAGATTGTCATTGTTGGTGGGTGTGGGGACTAGAAAAAAGGGACACCTAATGCAGCCATGTTGGTGATGTCACTTCTGAAGTGGTTGTCTTTAGTGAGGATAACTTGGGTGGCTGGGAAGAAATAGCTGTCCAGTAGTCTCTTGACAGTTTTCAGATTTCTGCTCTTTGTTTTGCTTTGCCCTCTTTTCCTGATGTGCAATTCCTTTCATTGCTGGAGGCTAGAAGTTCAAGGTCAAGGTGTTGGCACGTTTAATGTCTCTTGTGGGCCATAGCGAAGGGTCTCTTCCAGGCTCCTCTCCTTGGTTTGCAGATGGCTGCTCTCCTTCCTCGTCAGATGACCTTTTCTTTTCCCTGGGTACTCAAAATTCCACATATTCTTAAAGCTCTTCCCTGGCAGCTGACAAACACTGGTATTTCACATTCTGGCACTAGTTTCAAGACACGAATTCCTTTAGCTCGTGAAATCAGTAACCCAAAGTGGATGAGCTCATACCCAGCAGACGAGGCTTTCAAACGTGCTGGAAAGGTTTCAGTTCAAAGACCAAGGCGCTTAAGGATGAAGCGCTGGCTCCTGGGCGCGCCCACTGGCTGCAGACCTCAGGGGACGTTGCCAGCACAGCTGCATCTGTGGCCTAGCCCTTCCCCTGGGATGAAGCTGCTCGGGTTGGAAACACAAGCCTTGTGAAGAGCGGTAATAGAATGTTGTGAACACTCGCCATGTTGCAAGTCATCTTCGTCTCTGTGTTGCACACAGGAGCAGGCCCATTTCCTCCAGTTTATGTTCTTTCAGTAGCGCTCTTCAGGTGCGGGGCTGGGCCACGCTTCCTCCCAGGACTGTGAGCAGTTCCTGTTGTCCTCATCGGAGGGCTGGCACTCGGCGCAGACCCTGCGCAGGAGGTTCTGCATCCAAGTTTACTCTGGGAGCAGGGTAGTAAATTAAGACAAAAGGATCACTCTCCTTTCCCCTACTCCCGACACCCCATGAGAGTCTAAGCTGAGCTAGCTGGGGAGAGGCGGGGTGTGGCAAAGGTAACCCTTCTTTGTAAATAAGGATAAATGTGACTGATGGCCCTTTCAGTAATAACCACACAGAAAACCAGAAATACCACAATAAAAATATAATTAAGTTTCCAAAGAACAGAATTTTGCATGCAAATAGCCACATATTTCATTTAAGAACATCAGTGCTATTTATTTCTATTACATCTAGACACAAAACGCCCAAAGATTTACAAAACCAACCATACAAATTTTAAACACTTTTATAAAGAGGAAAATATAAAGAAATAAAGACTATGGAATTTTGTTTGCAAACAATTTTACGCTGAAGTCTGTCTTCTGTGAAAAACAGTTCCTCAGAATCTGTATTTGATACAACTATGTTAGAATTTCAGTAGACAAAATTGATGAAATCCCAATCATCAATCGTCTAGAGCAAATAACTATTATAATTAAGATTAAAGGGATCTTCAATTATTCCCCTAAATACTGCTGTTATGATTTCCTATGTATTAAAACTTTTATTTAGGGAATAAATTTGATACTATAATCCTATTTCAAGAAAGAGAATAAACTTTAATGAAATCTTTAATCCCAACTTTTAAAACTTAGCTTTTCTGCTAATCTGAAACTATTTTGGGTTCACTGCTAACTCATAAAATGTTTTAAGACAATCAATGTGTGATTTAAGGATTTTTTTTTTTTGTCTGAATAGTGCTCATGTTTTTTTGTTTTTCTACTGAAGCAGTAAGGCAAGAAAGTTTTTCCTTTTCCAAATCAGATCAAGAGAGAACACCTATCCATTTTAAAATCCAGGACTACAGTCACTGCAAATTATCCTACCAACAGGAAATTAAGGCTGCTGTGATTTTCCTAGACATTGGAACCATAACGTAAGATCAGCAGTGTTACGGCCTACAAATGTTGAATTTATAAGCATTTGAGCTTAAGTCACAGGACATAAACATTGTTATTTTTGTCTCTACTCCAATTCCAGGTAATAAGACACTTTTTTCACAATCACCTTTGATAAGTTTGAAGATGAAGTCAGAAAACACTACATAAAACTGAAACTGGATGATTCTGATACAAGAAAATAATACTTGAGGGGTCAAGAGTAGCGGTGCGGTGCCTGGTGAGCGCTAGCACGCTGTGCCCGCGGCCACCCGGAGGCGCGCAGGCCCCATGGGCCACATGGCGTAGCTTTGGGCGCCTGCCCTGCTGCCGCCGCCGGCGGCCTGGCCCACTGGGCCCCACGCGGGTCACTGGCTCTGCAGGAACCGCCAGGCACCAGTCAGAGCGCACCCTGCCTGCTGCCGCTTCTGCCCGAAGGCGAGCCCTTGCAGAGAGGCGAGCGAGAAACCGGACACCACCTCGCCTGCGAAGGGCTTCCCGGAGTCGCTTCCTAGCGCGAAGGCGACCCGGCTTTGCAGCGAGCCTCTGTCATTAGCACCATATGTAGGCCTGAAGCGAGGCCAACAGGAACTCTCAGGCAGCTCCGGGTAGAAACTACTGTAGTGATTTCGCGTGGGGGTTTTTTTTTTTGGGGGGGGGGGGGGGTCTTTATTCTTCAATTTTGTTAGTTTTGAATATAGGGTATCTAATTGATAAATTATAAAGTTAGGTAAGGTTTAGCAGGAAAAATGTAGCCAATAGGAATTCATTTTTGAAATTTAAACTATGTCATTATCGGTTGACAAAGTCAAAAATTTTGATAAAATACACGGCGCCAACACCACAGGGCTGGCCCATCCCACGGTGATGCCCAGGACCCCGCCGGTCAGGGCTCGGCCGCCCGGCTCCCGCCGGAAGTAGTTACCCGCAGGTCGCCGTGTATAATGCGCACCACGCTTCCCCACGAATGACCACGCTTAATGCACACCCTTATTTTTCCCTCAAAAATTTAGGCAAAAAAGTGCACATTATACACAGCGAAAAATAGTAGTTGATTTGTCCTGTTTGTTGCCCTCCTGAATGAAAGGCAGGAGCTCCTCTCCCCCGCCCACCCCGCCCCGCTGCTTTAATTTATGCAGATAAACCTCGCTGGAACTCTTACCTGGCATTTATATAAAGGATTAGCGGGGAAAGACCCTAAAACTTACTTAAAATTTTGAGAGGGTACACCATATGTTTCAGCAAATGAAGACAGAAATTAGTTAAGGGATAACGGGACAAAATGAGATAATTCCCTAATTTAGTTCCTAAAAACTGATAAGGTGAAATAACGTGTAAAATAAAGAACTAATGAAAACTTTTCAAATTGCCGGTCCCCTCCCTCGCCCGAACAACATCACTTAACACAAGAGACACGAGAAATCAGATACAGCTGGTTTTGAGGGCGTAATACACCTAGGGCTTCGGGGGAGGGCGACGGCCCCGCCCTGACGCCGCCGCCGCCCCGAGCCGGCCACACGCACCGGCGCAGCCTCCGCGGAAGCGGCCGGGCGCGCGCGCACCGACGCCCACGGCTCCGCGGAAGCGCCCCTCAGCGGCATTTCCCTCTGGCTCCGCGGAGAGTCGAAGGGAAACAGGTCCCCTTCCTTTGCAGCCTGTGGAAACCTCTTTGGGAAACGGTTTAGGGTTTGTACTTCACCTAAAACGTCCGCGGCATCCCGCCGATCGGCCTCCAGAAAACGCGCGTGAACGGTCGCTCCTCCTCTAGGAGGCGGCCGGCGCGCAGCCCGGTTCCGCTCGCCCGCGAGGGCGCCGGTCAGCAGACGAGCTCCCTCAGCTCGCGGTCCGTCAGCTCGTTCACCTCCATGATCTTCTCCAGCTGCTCCCGGTATCGCCGCTGGTCCTGCAGGAAGTGCGGGACCCGCGTGTTCTCCGTCGCCGCCAGCGCCTTTAGGCGATCCACGTCCTCGTAGGAGACCTGAGGAAAGGCAGCCGGCTCAGTTTGGAGTGGGCCCGCCAGTGGCATTTGGAAGGGCAGTTTCTTCCCCGGGTAGTAAGTGAAACTTAAGTATGTGGGCTGTTTTTCAAATTACTTTAATGCCTGCAAAGTAACAAAAGTAAGTGACTTCTTTCTCGTTACTCTGTTACGTAAGAATGTACTTCTCTGCCCCCTCGTACTATGACCAGATTTTTTAAAAAAGATGAAGTCAATATTTGATCTCTTGGACCTACTCAGTTTGTCTCAAAATTATACAATTAAACTTAATATATATGTCAGAGACTCTAAACCGAAACAAATCTGACTGTATCAAAGAATCAAGAAAATAGCTCAAATATAAATACCATATTAATAAATTAGAAAAATCAGCCCAATTATATATTGGATTCCTATTTCTATTTAACTTTAAAACTATAATGATTTCTTTTGTGTTAAATTCTCTTGCTTTTATTTTGAATTTTTGTATAAGTATTTAAAAAAATTTCCTACCTCTTTCATTTGCTTGTGTAAGAATCCAACGTTGACAAGTATTTTAAGTTCTATAAATTATCTTTGCAGTTTTAAAATATGGCTGACTTTATTTTTTTTTAAGATTTTATTTACTTTTAGGGGTAGGGGAGGGAGAGAGACGCCGACTGGCGGCCTCCCCCGCAGCTGGAGACCTGGCCGCCAGCCCCGCCTGTGCCCTGACCCGGAACTGAACCGGCGACCTTTCCTTTCGCTGGGCGGGTCTCAGTCCCCCGAGCCACACCAGACAGGGCATGGCTGACCTTAATCACTATTGTTTTCTGATCAATATTCTTCCTGATTCAGTCGGAAGACTCTAAATAGAGAAATCATGTTCATATTATATCTGTATTTTATTAAGTGTTTTAGTTATTATTAAAAGCATTTATTTCATTGAGTATTTACACCACTAAGTATAACGCAGATAGGTTTGTTGTTGACAGCAGTGTGGTTAGTAATTCTGAAACCATTCTCAGTTCATTACAGGAGAGAATGAGCAGATGGAGCAATGTTCTCCCCGTCAGAGGAGGGAGATACATGGGTGGAGTGGGAACGAAGGGGTGAAAGAACCCTGTTGATTTGAATTAAAATGCCCTCATAATTTAGAACACATATAACCTGCTCACTGAAAAGGTCTAGAAGCATCAGCATTCAGTAAAAATGAGCACACCTAGTGCTCATATCTTGTTTTCTAAACACCATTTCCACTAAAAAGAATCGAGGCTTTCGGGGAGAATTATCTAACCTCAGATTTGGATAGGAAAAGTGTAATGTGGGCTCAGAACATTTTATACTTTGTCAGAAAACATGAAGACTTTCTAAAACACAGGGGTAGCCACTGGAAGAGTTGAACAAAAAAGAATAGTACATAATAATACTACCAAAACAGACCTCTATTTTGCTACCACCGGTGTTGGAACTGATTTGGGCAAAGATCATCAGCGGCTATTAAAACCATTCCTTGAAAGGTTAAGAAACATTCATAGGTATCACCCCACAGACTGCTCTTCAATCAGGGGAAAGTCATAAAATTTATCAACAAAAAAGCACACAATCCAATTACTAAATAGGCAAAGGAACTGAATGAACAGTTTCCCAAGGAAGACAAGCCAATGGCCAGCAGATATATGAGAAGATGTTCAACTTCACCACCGATAAGGCAAACGCAAATCAAAACCACAGGGAGCTACCACCTCACACCTGTTAGAATGGCTGTCATCAATAAGACAAGAAATAAGACGTGTTCACAGGGTACGGAGGGACGGGAACCCTCACACACTGCTGGTGGGAACATAAGTTGGTGCAGCCACTGTGGAAAACGGCATGGAGGCTTCTCAGAAAATTAATAGAATTACTATGTGACCCAGCAATCCCTCTTTTGAGTATCTACCCGAAAAATTTGGAAACACTTAAAAATATATGCACCTCTATGTTCACTGTAGCATTATTTACAATAGACAAGACATGGAAACAACCTAAGTTTACCTTTAGGGATGGCTGGATAAAGAAGATGTGGTACATGTATAAAATGGAATGTACTCGGCCACAGAAAAAAAAATGAAATATTGCTGCTTGCAACAACAGAGGGATCTTCAGAGCGTCATGCTAAGTGGAGTAAGTCAGATGGAGGAGGACAAGAACCGGGTGGTTTCACTCACATGTGGGACATAAATGAATGAACAAACAAAACAAACTCATAGGCACAGACAACAGTAGGGTGGTTACCAAAGGGGCAGGGGTTTGGGGAGAATGAGGGTAAGGGGGTTGAATATATGGTGGTGGAAGGAGAATAGGCTCTGGGAGGTGGGCACCTGATAAGACTATGCAGACACTGTGTTATGAAGTTGTACACCTGAAATTTATATAACGGTATTAACTGATGTTACCCCAACACATGTAATTAAAAAATAAAGTGGAACTGGAAAAAAAGAAAATCACATGGTTATGTCAGCATGGCAGATACTGCTGATGTATTAGTGGGCAAGTGTTATATCTACAGGGTTCTTTAAAATGCTTGAGAGATAAAAAGATGTATATAAAAATAAAAATGAAACACTATAATATAGTCCCAAACATCCTACTCCTTTCTTCATCTCTTACTGTCCACAAAGAAATTTTGCTATTTCCTTAGTTTCTCTGACGCAGCCACATTCCATACCACCCCCAACCGCCGCCCCACCCCACCATCATCGCAGGAAGGAAACTTACTCCGCCCTCAGTCATGACAGCCTGGACCTGAGCCACGGGAGGTGCTGGCCAGGCGTGCCCCGGGGTGACTCACCTTCCCCAGGGCGGTCAGCAGGGGGAAGTCGATGGTCTGTCGGTGCCGGAGGATCCGCAGGATGCCGTCCAGGTACACCTGGTCTTTACTGAAGCAGCCTGGAGGAGCCATAACAGTGTTTACTGTCTGAGGTTCGAAAAGATCGCTAAGTAATTAGATACTACCCCATTGGCTTTACTGTAGGAATCGGTCCTGATTTAAGAAAGATATGTTCTAATTTGCCATGCTTGTTTTAATTTACTGTATCTTCATAACAAAATGTAAGGTCTTTGGAAGTACCAGGATACTATGCAGACCAGTAGTTTCCTTTTAAAACTGCCTTCTCTGGCTGGCATGGCTCAGGTGGTGGGGCGTCGTCTTGCAAAATGAAAGGTTGCCAGTTTGATCCCTGATCCGGGCACATGCCTAGGTTGCGGGCTCTGTGCTCTGCTCCCTGTCCGGATGCTTGCAGAAGGCAACCAGTTGTTTCTCTCCCTCTCTTTCTCCCTCCCTTCCCCTCTCTCTGAAATAAAATAATTTTTGTTTTTTAAAAAAAATGCCTTCTTCCCATATCCCCACTCCCTGTAATTAAAATAACATTTCCTATTATAAAGAAACACTGGTAATATAAACTGTATGACTCCTATAAATAGTTATCGCACCCTTACCCCGTGCCCCCACCATTGACTGTAACCTTAACTCCCATGATGCAATGCAGGCATTTGGGTGGGGAAAGCTGGGGGGAGATACCTGTAGAGCAGTTATCAGAAAGTGCTAGGTTTTTTTAAAATGAATACCCTTTACCCCATTAAAAATAACTATAGGAAAATAAAAAAATAAAAATAACTAGGTGGTTCTGATACTATTCTTCCCTATGAAAACAAAAATTTGGGTTGGATTTTAAAGAATATGTAGGTCTATAAAAAATGTGGACGAAGACATGATAGGTTGAACCAGCTCGTGAGATCTGAGCCTACTTTAAAAAGAGTGTTCCATTTTCAAAGAAAACCTTTCTCCCACCATGACATAATGTGTAAATTTTTAAGAATTTTTTTGCTCTATTAAGTGGACTAAAATCCTACCACATGGAGAGTCCTATAGCATGAAATTGTTCATTTTGTTAGATATGTTAACAGCATGGGGACTGTGAAAAACAAGTGGCTCTTCCCAGTTAAAGACGCACACTGAAGAACCTATGGGTAAAAAGCCACCTGTCTGGAACTGGCTTTAAAATGCTACAGGGAAACTTGGAGGGACTTGGCGGGACAGATGAAACACGTGGATAATTACTAAGACTGGGCAATATTTATGAGGGTTTGGCACATTCATTACTCTTGTACATATTTGAAATTTTCAGCAATCAAAAGTTTTTTTTAAGTGTATAACGAAAAAAGGGACTAGTGTAACCGTGGTGTGCCCCATGGGTGTCAAGGACAGAGTGAAAGCTGCGTGCATCTAAGTACAAGGACCCAAGTACAGGCAGGCAGACTCCCCTGACCTGAACAGCCTGGACCAGCTTTGCACGCCTGCTTCCTGTCTGTCTGGTCCTGGCTCACACACACCACGCTTTCCAGTGACACCAGCACGGGAATGACAGGTGAGCGTGGGCTGCGCTGACGACATCACCACCACACACTTGGGCAAGTAGTTCCAAGCCCCAAATAAATTGTTTTAAATACTTCTAGAAGAAAACTTGTTGATATACTGAATTAATCTTAAAGTCAAAACAACTTTAAATGAACATTTCCTAATCCCTATGCTTTTTCCCAAAGGCATTTTGTACTGCCTTATAATCTACTTCTTACTGCGTTAAAAAAAAAAAAATCAAAGCCCTTGGGGGGCAAACTGAATCTTAAAGCTGCTGACAAACTTTGAAGCTCTCGCTCAGAGCAGCATGATCCTTAGAGCTGGAGCTCGTGTGAGGGCAACACACTGTGACTGTGCTTCTTGCCTCTGTTTTCTGTAGAAAAATAGTAACAAAGTGCCAGAAATCCCCAGGGAAATGAACAGATTTCAGGCAAAGACCGCTGATGGATGCAAACACCATTTGATGAAACTGTTGGAAAATGGTATTTTCACAGCAACTATCACCTTATAGACCACTCAATAATTAAAAAGGGGAAAAGGAAAACATACTTTTACAAAAGAAAGAGCTCACAATCCCCACCTTGAACAAGAATGAGAGTCACCACCTCCAACAGTGAAACAATCTGCCATTAGGTGGCTCCTGATATGCTCCAATATCACACTTGTAATATTCTTGTTGAAATATTTATTCTGGATCTAATCATGGGGAAACACCCAAACGTGTCCAGATAGTGGGCATTCCATAACAACAGTGGCCTGACCTTTCAAAAACAAGTCACTGTCATGAAAACCAAAAAGGTGTTAAGATGTTCCATATTAAAAGAGGCTAAAGAGACATAACCACCAAAAGTAATGCATGAACTGTGACTGGGTCTAGCTTGTCTTTAAACAGCCATAAAGGACATTTTGTGATAGCTGGGGAAGTCTAACTATCATATGTGTATTAGTTGATACTGCCGAATTAATGCTCACTTTCTTAAGTGTGATAATGATATTGTGTTGGGGAGAATTTTTTTTTTCCTTAAGAGATGTATGCTCAAGTTTTTAGGAATGAAATGTCAAGTGTACAATTTACTTTTAAAAAGTCACAGAGCATTACATTAAGAAAGTGAACAGACAATCCACAGAAATGGGGGAAAAGTACTTGTAAATCATGTATCCAACAAGAGATTCACATCTGGAGCATACAAAGAACTCTAAAACCCCAATAACAGAAAGAAAATCAATTTAAAAATGAGCAAAAGATCTGGGCACACTAAAAGATGCTCAACTTTATTCGTTTTCAGAGGATGGCTATAAAGACAAAAAGAAGACAAGAGTTGAGAAGGTTGTGGAGAAACTGGAACCCTCATTCCCTGCTAGGGGGACGTAAAATGGTGCAGCCACTGTGGTAAACAGTTCCTCAAAAGGTTAAACATGGAGCTACCATTTGACCCAGAAATTCCACTTCTAGTTATTTACCCAAAAGAATTAAAAACATAAACTTGTACACAAACATTCATAGCAGCCTTATTCACAATAGCCAAAAAGTACAAACAACCCAAATTTCCAAAAACTGGTGAATGGATAAATTGTCAAATCCATGCAACTGAATATTATTCAGCAATAGAAAGTACTGAAATACTGATACAAGCTACATACAATATGGATGAAACTTTAGAATATTATGGTAAGTCAAAGAAGCCAGTCACAAAAAAATGACTTATTACCTGATTCCACCTACATGAAATGTCCAAAACAGTCACACCTATAGAAGTAGAATAACGGCTACTTCAAGCTGGGGAGAGGGAATGGAGAATGATTACTATGGGATGCAGGTTTCTTTTCGGGTGATGAAAACACTCTGGAATTAGGAATCAGTGATGGCTGCACGACTCTATGATTATTCTAAAAACCGCTGAACTGTACGTTTCAAACAGGTGAATTGTATGTTATATGAATATCTCAGTAAAGCTGCCTTTTTTAGACTTGTTAAAAATTTTATTTATTTTTAGAGAGGGGGAAGGGAGGGTGGAAGATAGGAAGAGAAATATCAATGTGTGGTTGCCTCTCGTGCTCCCCACTGGGGACCTGGCCTGCAACCCAACCCTGTGCCCTGACTGGGAATCAAACCAGCGACCCTTTGGTTTACAATCCACGAAGCCACACCAGCCAGGGCAGTAAAGCTGTTTTTAAAGTCAGAGAGAGAAACAAAAACATGGCAAAACGTTAGTAATTGGTGAATCTAGAAGAAGGATAGGTGAGTGTTCATTCTATCTTTATTTCTATATTTCTGTTGGTCTGAAATTTTTCAAGATGAGATGGAAAAAAATATTAGCTAACAAAATGTGGTTTGGGAAAACCAGCACTGACCTTAAGTAACAAAGGTTCAATTTTTCATCGGTAAGTGAACTCTCTGCTTGGAGAATTAGGATGTAACCAAAATCAATCAACAACAACCCACAAAGTCAGAAGACCTCCAGTCAGGGGACACTCACCTGGTTGGGAAGTGTCCGTCCAGCCCCTCTTGGCTCGCACACAGTAATCCCATCTTGTGTTGGGGTCCTTGACAAACTTCCCGATGTCCTCGAAGAGCTCGCAGAATGACATGTGGCCAGCTTGGTAAACGGTGTAGTAGAGGAGGGCGGCCCTCCACAGAAAGGGGTCTTTCCTGAACAGGACACTGTGGATGCTGGCCAGGCCCTCCTCTGTGGGGTTGTTCGGCTTCAGCTCGTGTTTTTTACGGCCCGTCCAGCTGTTCCACGGCTGCTGGAGGTTGTTAATACCTCGAAAATAATGTGTGCCTATCGGGAGGGGGGTGCATGAAAACAAGAAACGCCATTCTCATCTTCCTTCCCAAGGAAGATTGTACCAACAGCTCTAAAACCAAGCCTTTTGGTTTGAAGGAGTGCACTGCCTTCCGAAGGCTCACATGTCTCAGTAGAAGAAGTATAACTTCTATAGCAGCTTATTTTTTTTTAAAGGGAAGAATCATAGACTTGATATTGGAAAAGAATCTCAGAGATCACGTAGTTCAATTCCTTCAGTTTAAGGTCCACGGCCTGAAATCCCCAGGGGTTAAATGAGTTCCTAAGCTTAAGGCAGCTACACAGTGCCCTAAAAATCCAACCTGAAATGACACAGCTCATTGTAGCTTTAGTTCAAGTGAAACCTAACAACTTCACTACTTTTTGCCAAACACCGCTAAGAAAACCCCACTGTAAAAGAACACTTCTGTGAAGCTGATCCCTGATATTATGAATGAAGAGCAGAGAAGGGTGCCCCTACCTATTTCATGCCTCAGCATTCCCTCCAGCCAGTGCTCACGTGCAGTGGAAACATTGATGGTCAGCGTCGGACACCCATTGACCACCGTCATCGAAGCACGGGACAGCAGGTCTTCGGTGAGGTGAACTACAATCTAAGGAGCAACAGGAAATGTACACACACACACGCACAAAGTAAAGGTAGGGGACACCAATGGCCCCGTAAGTGAACACTTTTTCCTTCTGTTTGCACCACCCCGAATCTCCCAGAAACCAAGATGAAGAAACACAGGGCCAGTCACCTGACCCCCCGATTGTGAGCCGGTGGGAACTCCCAGGCCTCGGTGGAACGAAAGGAAGCAGACAGCTCTGCTGGGAAGGCAGAGGGCTGGCTGCCTCTGCTGTGCTCTGTCCCTGCCAGAACGGCGCACGAGGAGGTGCAGAGCAGAGGCGGGCTCACTGCTGGGCCAGTGCCTCTCTCAAGGCTGAACGCCGGCAGCTGGCTGTTAAGAGGAGGGGCTGCTGGAGCCTCGTTAACAATTTCCCACAAGCTACACAGAAATGGTAGTGGGAAAAAAAAAGGCACTAAACCCAATTCAACCCAATGGGAAAGGAGATGTACAGTACTTAGAAATCTGGGTGACTGATTTAAGGAGCTAACCAGGGTTGGAGAAACCAAACCCACAGCCAACAGCACGCGGCACTGCAGAGGGGCTTCGGGCCCATGGGGGGGTCTCGCGCGCCCTCGGGGCCCGCACCTCGCCCATGCAGCCTTCTTTCACCATGTACTTCCTGACGTGGCTCCAGATCCGCGGCTTCGACAGCAGGCTGCCACCCGTGGCCTGTTCAAATTTTTCATAACTCCCATATTTCTGTAAAGTCAGCTCCATAATATTGATGGACTGTAAAAGAGAATGAAAGCAAAGTTCTTTATTACTTCGAGATGAGTAATAAGCCAGTTACATTCCTGTTTATCATGACCTGTTTCAGTATGACACAGGTTTCCAAATGGAAATGCAACTGAAGCACATCTTTCTAATCATACACAGCCTTCTCTCATTGTCACAAATGTTTACAAACATGTGTGCAGCTACAAACACTGCTTCCTGTGTTCGCTTCCCTCTGACACAGATGACCCACTGCTGTGCGGTCTACGGCCAAACAACCAGAGACGGCATGACCCACTGCCAGGTCCACCCGAGGTAACTGAAAACGTATATCCACACAAAAAGGTGTACACACGAGCTCACAGCAGCAGCATTCATAACAGCCAAAAAGAAGAAACAACCCAAATGTCTACCAGCTGGTAAAAGAATAAAATGCACTATATACATACATGGAATATTATTCAACAACAAACAGCACTGATACATCCTACAGTATAAATTAATCTTGAAAACATTATGCTAAGTAAAAGACGCTTGTTACAAAGGACCACATATTGTATGATTTCATTTATCTGAAATTTCCAGAAGAGGCAAATCCACAGAAAAAGAGAGACTGGGGGTGGCCTAGGGCTGGGATGATGAAGGGAAATGGTGAGTCATTGCCAATGGGTATAGGGTTTCTTTTGGGGGTGATGAAATATCCTAGGATTTGGTAGTGTTGATGGTCATATAATTATAAACATACTGAAAATTACCGATTGTACACTTTAGATGGGTGAACCGTAGGGCATGAGAATTTTGTCTTAATAAATCTGTCACTTAAACAGTAGTAGTAGTCAAATAGCACTATGTAACATTTAAACCACTAACCCAGAAAATGAAGAATCTCTGTAAAAAATGTTCAGCACTGTCTTGGATAAAACAAACTTCCGGAAAAACCTCAACTTTCTGCTGAAAGATCTGCTTTCGGTCTCCTTGCTGGTTCAGTTTACTGTTTAGCACTTCAGAAATCTGACCGTCCTCATGGGCCACTTCCACAGTCATGTGCTAAAAACTATCTCCCTTCTCACTGCGGCTTCCGCTCAGTGGGCAGCCGCAGGCAATGGGGACACTGAGACGGTAGGAGACTGGGCCAGGTCGCAGCCTAGAAGTCAGGAGATCTGGGTTCACGCTAGCGCCCTGCCATGTACTGACTGTGAGGTCTTAGGTACGTCATTTACCTTTCTCAGGTTTAGTTTCTTCACTGGCAAAGTGGAGATGAAAATCTTTGCCCTATTTACCTCACAGGGTTGCTGTGAGGACAAAATTATATATTGAGACAGAAAAACAGAGAGGAGGGAGGGGGAGAGAAAGATCTCGAGACTGCGAATATGCTTTGTAACCTGTTTCCCACATAACTGTGTACGGGCTGGGTTCTAATTTTCGAATTTAAGATAGTTGGTGTGACCTCCATCCAGTCCCAACCCTCCCTCCGTTCCTCCCCTTTAGAGTAAACTCTACCATCTAGTGCTCGCTGCCCCGCAAAATACGGCGTGGCCCCCGGGAGGCCCCTGAGCCCTTTTCTCCAGCCCGTGCTTTCCAGACTGTGTCCTGGGGGAGGGAGGCTGACGAAATAACATTGTTTAAAGGGGTCCATGGCCAAGTGTGTCGGGACAATACTGGATTAAACAAAGGTAGAGAAGACTCTTCCAAGTCTTTATCATACTATGGGTGGTGAATCTTGGAAATGAATATGATATTTTGTGTTTTCCAACTTAAACGGCCCGCTCTCTCACGCAGTAATGCTTAATTTAGTAAGTGAGGTGCATGCACATAAACATACATCTTTCTGGTACTTTGAGGTTCTCAGCATGAAAAGCAGAATTCCAAATACTGAATACATTTGTCAGTGGAGGCTTCTGCTTCTGAGCAGAGCACGAGGCATGTGAACATTGTGGTTACTCAATCAGATCGTGAGGCCTCCCTGTAAGTGATGGGGTCCTAGAGGCAGGGCCACCCACTCAGACCTCTCGAGCTGCAAGCAGAGGCCACTGTGTAAAGCTGCTGAGTGGGAGACGTCTGGGAGAAGCGGCGCAAAATCATCTCTATATTCCAGTGTTTAAAAAAAAACCCACTGTACTGACCCCCAAAAAACATACATGCAGGCTGAACACGACCCTTGGACCAAAATCTGGATCCGTTGTTTACACAGGGCTTTACTAAATTCCTAGAATCCCATCAATAAGGACCCTGCATTCATTCATTCATTCATTCATTCATCCATCACTATGGCCAGCTTCTTTGTGCCATTCATTGCTACTTTTGTTCCCTGTTATGTTTTAGAATCTAAATCCCTGTCCAACCATTAGACTGGCAGAGACGACATATAAACCAACAGTATTTAGTAATGCTTTTATGTAGGAAAGGTTAAGGTGTTGTGAGATCACAGAGAAAGGTAAATACCAGTGGGGGACTAGAGGAAACAAGAGGGCATTCCAGGCAAAAAGGAATGGTATCGTCCAAAGCTCATACAAAGCAAAGAAAGTGCAATACAGAGTTCTGGGGTAGACAGGCACGCAGGAACTCATTTATTTATTGCCAGGAACTGGGCAAAGTTTGGGGACTAGCTGAAATAAACAAAATACACACTATCAAAGAGGTCAATCTAGTGGTGAAGACGAAAAAAAATAAGGATGGTCACAGTATCATAAATGCTATGACAGGTCACCTGCACAAGACACCGCGGGCACACAGAGCTGGCCCTGGGAATATAAGCATGAGCCAGATCACGGAGGAGGGAAGGCCCACAGACCAGGCTCAGGCCGTTGGGCTGTGCGCCCTGAGTGGTGAGGAGCCCAGAAGTTTTTCAGGAAGGGAAGTGACGTGATCAGGTCTGTGCCTTAGAAAGACACCCCTAGTGGTGTGGAGAGCGGGGGAGACCAAAGCCAAAGTACTTTTGCCAGTAATTCAGTTTTCTATAAAACAGACTGCAGACTATGGCCAGATTATAGTACAAAGAACAAAAATATTCCCCAAAATCATATTCTCCACAAGCAGAACCCAGGAAATAAACAGATCTGAGACACCAAGTCTGCCTTCAATGAAGGAATGAGCAAAGCTACCCAGGACACAGGGAGATGCGCCTGAGGCCCCATCTGCTCGCCATCTGCACATGTGCGTCAGGCTGGGGGCTGGAGGCAGGGACTCGCCTGGGAAGGTGAGCAGGAAACTGCCGCCAGGAGGGACGTTTATAAACAGCTTATGCTGCAGAGTCTTCCTTCACCAGCTACAAGAACTAAAGCAGACATTCAGGCTGTTTTGTAGAAAAGACACCGTTCAGATAAGAACCCGAGAATGCACTTCAGCAAGTTTTCAAAGGCAAGTCCACAAAGTGTCCTTTCAGTGAGTCATCAAGGTCGTGCCTTCTTCCAAGGACAGCAGACAATCTGATGGTGTGTCTCCACCTCTGACTGTAAGAAAATCTTCCTTGCTAGTTGGGTTAAGAAATAGCCCCACTTCTCCAATCTAATACACAGAATTACTTTGGAATGTATAAAACTCACAGCACTCTTTTGAAAAATCTCGTATCTTTAGGATAGCTGTGAAAGATTTGATTTTGCGAAGCAGAAAACTGTGTCACCTGGGGAGGGGTACAATTTAAAGAAGGCTGGCTTTGTCCTGCTCTATTTTTCTTAAGGCTTTATTTATTTATTTTTAGAGAGAGGGGAAGGGAGGGAGAGAAACATCCATGTGTGAGAGGAACATCGACTGGTTGTCTCTCACATGTGCCCAACTGGGGACCTGGTCCATGACCCAGGCATGTGCCCCAATGGGGAACTGAACTAGCGACCTTTCAGTTCGCAGGCCGGTGCTCAATCCACGGAGACACACCATCCATGGCTGTCCTGCTCTTTATTGTGTGGACAACTCGCGGTCTACCAAGGTAAAACAAAATCAATGCTTAGACAACTGAATGTTAGCCTTAAGGAAATTTCTTGTCACGACATCCTGCTATCAGTGAAGGCATGTGATTCCCAACTAAGCTGTTTCTATCAAAAACAAAAAAAAATGAACACACCTTGCTTTAGAATATGACATAATTTTATGTACTTATTATGCATGTGTTTTAATACAACAATGAATTACCTATTCCACTTATGCTATAAACAAACTCTCAAAGCAGGACATTGTTTTCCATGGACCGTATTTCAAGTCATTATGTTACACTTATCATTGGTCCCAGTAAAGCAGAATTTGTGTTGAACAGATCTGGTGAATAAGAGGTGGCCAACTGGCAACCCAAGGCATGAAGGTAGCCCACAGACATGTTTCCTTTGGTCTGAACAGCCTTTGTTTGTTTAATTGAATTAGCTGTCAACATTTACAAACTGGAAGACTTCATATGAAATTCAGATACCTGCACTTCTCTTGAATATCATGAAGATAAGACCCAAGTGGTAGCTCAAATTAACTGCTGTTTGGTTTCCAGTTTTCTACTTTGCCCAGCCAGCTCTCCATAATCATTTATGACCCTGTCTAGGTCCTTAGGAGCGTCTGAGTCTGTGACTCTTCAGTACCCTAACCTAACATACAGCTTGCTGATGGGATCAAGAAAAATCAGAAGGTATTTCAGATGAACATGATGCAGTTGGTCCATCTAGGCACTTCCTTTGAACGCCAGAACTCTGCAATGAAAGCCCAATGCCACGCCGTAGAATGCTGCTGTTACGCTCTCCCAGCGCAGGGAAAGGCTGCTGCCCAAGTCAGAGTCCTTTCCTTTCCACGTTTTAAAGGTCTCTGAGGGTTTACAGTAACTCTACTAAGTCACCCTTGATGGTATGGAGCCATTTAACTTCCATTAACTTTAAGCGATGAAGAAAATTTCAGGACACTATCATTATGCAAGCACAACTGTGTTATTTCAGTTGAGTGCTCTAGAATGTGTCAATGCCTAGTAATATCCTAATTCTGAAATAATCTGGTTGTGATGGAAATGGCTTTTTCTGAGACATCAAATACCTTAAAAAAAAATCCAGCTGTTTCTTGCATCTTTCTTTCTCGGCCCACATCGTAACCATACTGTTTGGCTCATGGACATATCATTTTAAGAAATCAAGAATATGTCACTCTTAAAGTTTTATTATTATTAAAGACAGTATGTTTGTATCCCATACAGTTATGACATTTTTATATTTTATAAAAACATTTTGTGCTTTTGAGATGTTTTGCTGCCACACCCGGGCATCTCTCCCAGCGCCTGCAAGTCTCCTGCATCTGCCTGCCTCCACCCCGACCCCTCACTGCTTAGCCCTCCTCCTTCTGAACTGCATCTCCCCCCGAGGCCACGGTGCACACTGCCTGGGACCAAAGCAAAGGTTCAAAGAGCTTCCTTCTTTATCAACAATGCAGTAGTTTATTTTCTCTTAGATGTTTAATTTTAAACAGCACTTCCCTCGACAATCTCCTTTCCACGTCATCGTTGGTGGCTTTTCTCTGTTGCTGTGTTTGCTTGCATTACTGCGTTTACAACTCACTACTGACCCCAGCGACTTCCTCACAGCTCATGGGGCCCTTGCGACAACTGTCCTGGGGATGGAGCAGGGATTAATCTGAGCTAATCCGCACAGAGAGTTCCTTCCATTCATATGGGTAATCAAAACCTAAGTATACTGGCAAATAATTACTTCGAAAACTATATAGGCTTAGGAATAGGATAACACTGAATATACTACACTTCATTGCAGCAGGAATTTTGGAAAGCTGTTTTCAATTATCTTGTTTCATTTGAAGATACTTAAGTAATTTTGTTTTATCCTCTTGTCAATTCTGGACCGTGCACATGCCCGTGAAGCAGAGGAAAGAGGCGGCCTGCACTGGCGAGTGCCGCGGTGACATACACAGGTCTGCGGGTGGGAGCGGCAATGAGAGGGGTGCTTCTGCCTCGTCCCCTGGCAGAGTCAGGGCACGGGGATGGGGACGGGGATCAGCCGCCGCAATACTATGGAAAACACCTGTGGGGAGCCCCGTGTTGGACTTTTTCACACACTTGCTCGGTGGGTAGACCGGTAGCCAGCTCTGACCCGGCCACTGCTCCCCCGGCGCTGACTGTCGCTGAGGCCTGGGCGGCTGCAGCGGCAGCTGAAGGTTGGGGTGGGCGCTGCGCCAGGGAGACCGCGCCTTTACCGCCTCTCGCTTCTGTCTTGTTCACCATCTGCTTTGTATAAGCAGGGGTCTCAGGCCGCTGAGATTCGTCCCGGGGCTGCCTGGGATGGGCAGCCACTGGGAAAGCAGGGAAGAAAGCGCTGGCGGACACTTTACTTTTTGGAGCACCACCAAGGGTCTGCTGCCGACCCCTGGCCCTGGGCAGCGTGCCGCGCTCCCTCATCCCACACCCGGTCCCCGCAGTCCACAGCCACGGAGAAGGGGCGGTTTTAGTTTCCCTCACGGGTAAACATACCCGAGGTTGGGGAGCTGGAGACCCCCAAGGCTGCCTACCATGCAGAGGAGGGTTCCACAGGCCCCCTGGAGTTACTGTGCAGCCCTGCCGCCCACGCGGGACACCACGTGCCCCGTCCAGGGTTCCTTCGGAGGAGCCGACCTCCTGGACCAGGAAAACCGAGCCCCATAACCGCTCGACACCACCAGCACACCAACGGGGACGACTGCGCCTGGCACAGCCTGGTGTCGCCATGGCGGGCCTGCCTGCACCCGGGAGGTTCCCACTGTGCTGCCACCTGTGCCCTGCAGAGGACCGTGTCCGCTCCAGCAGGAGCACACACTGCCTGCCTTCGAAGCGTGCAGATCCAGAGACTCGGGAGCCCGCGGGCTGGGGGGCCAAGGCCTCGGGGGCGCAGGCTGCTTGGCCCTCCTGGCCCCCCACGCAGCGCATGCCTGAGCCCTGACGCTGGCCCCGCAGCCGCTGCTTCAGCCTCTCAGCTGGGGAGGGAAGACGTCCGACATCATATGCTAATTCCCTGCGATGCCGGGTAGGGATTTAAGCATCTATGGAGGCCTTGCTCAGATCAGCCTCCTTTATTTGATTAAAGTGGGTTGAACAGGACATTTGGCGTTTGTTGAGAGCATTCTCCCAAATGGTGGCTCGTGAATTACAGGCCAGCTAGGACTGCTGGTGCTACTTAGAAGTCTCAAGCAACCCCAAAACAGGTTTTATCTCCCAAGCTGGAATTGGGTTAAAATACAGATTGCAGAGTCACAGGGCAAGCAGTCGATTCTCAATCAGCAGGGCTGCTGACGCCTCCTAATTGCCTCCCAGAGAAGCGAGAGAGACTTCCTTTGGTTTCCCAGTGGGAAACCTCACCCTGCTGGCAGGGTTGGGGGCGGATTCCAAATTAAAAAGGTCTGGGGAATAAATCTCAGCCATTACTTTCAGTGCGAAGGAGGGAAACAAACAAACAGCTTTTTAATAATTATCATAAATTTTAAATAAGTGAAATCTTTGTTCAATCAACTGTAATTTCCACCAAAAAAATTCACAAAATTGCCAAAATAGAAATAAAAACAATAGCTGACTTTTTAAACTAATCTTTAGCACAGACTTAGTACCTTTAAATAAAAAGTGATTACCCGTTTAAAAACAGAGATGCAGTAGGTTTCTTCTGGCAAAGAAGAATCAATAGCAATATTAAATTTACTTTAATCTTAAAATAAGCTTTAACTGATGGTTTAAAAAGATGGGTCGCCGTCCATATCATTTATAATAACACAAAAGCTGCTGGCCACAAATCCAAAGACTGTATTATAACAGAAGTGCTGAAACAGGGCACGCCCCGCAGCGGGTGGGGCCACGCAGCGCTGCCGAGCCAGCCGAAAAAGGGCCGTCCTCACAAAGCCCAGCAGGACCCGATGCCTTGTATTATACAGCCTGTCCAAAGTTACCTTAAGCAAACGAAGTCTGCCTTTGTGATCTCAGCGCTATGCCCTGCAAGTAAACATCAGCCTATTTCCCCTCAAAACCTTAGGTAGATTTTGAAGTGTATTGCATAAAACTATGTGCTACGTGCCTGCATTGAGCAATCTGGAAAGTGTAGCTCATATCATTCACACATGGTTTGCTGAACTTGAAGATAACTTTTAAATTTTCATTATGTTCTTCTTGAAATGAGTGCCTACATATTTACCTGATGATGATAAACTATGTTAGTAAAGCACTAAAAGTTCACGGGCGACTGCCAAGCCTGAGGCCCCGAGATGCCCACGGGGGCCGGAGCAAGCTGGGAACGAAACACGACAAGGAGACCAAGAGGCGGCCCGCTTCGCATAAGACACTCAGACCCCAACAGAACGGGCCAGGGGTCTGTAGCCCCCAAACGAAAGCTTGGAACAAGGCTCTGAAGCTTTTTCCTAATAAAGTGTCTTCCTGCCACAAAGGCTATAAAACAGATTCTTTACAGAGTTTGATTAACGCAAAGCAGTTTACCAAAAGGCTAGCACTTATCTGGAAATTTCTTGGCACATGGATGCATGCCCTGGGTGGAAGTTAACTATACCATGCAAACAATTAGAATGTTTTTAAAGTCTTTTTTTTCCTTTTTATAAGATTGCAAATAACTGTTTTAGCTACATAAACATGAAACACCGCTACGGAAGAAGCATTTTACCTGCTTGAGAAACCGGTCGGACACGTGGCTGTGCCTGGCTAACACGCCGGGCAAAGACGGGTTGGCGTATTCAAACTGAGGGTTGTAGGTGTAGTCAGACCTGAAGAATCTCAGCTTTTCCTTCTCCAAATTGGTGGGCTTTATAGCGGTCAATATACAAAATTTCTTTCCAGAAAAGTCATCTCCTTTTTCAAAGCTTCTAGACAGCTGTGGCTGTGGCTGCAGCTTTGGCTTTGGAAGAGTGGAGAAATGGCGTCGCTTGACCTTAGGCTTAGGTGGCAGGAGTATGCTGTTCCCTGTAACAGAGATATCACAAGTGAACTTTGCAGGACTTGACACTGCACTAGTGACAAAAATCGCAGGCTGCCTTTCCAGGCAGCACCAGGTACCTGTGCCCGCCCCAGGCACAGGGTTTTTCATCTTGCGAAGATCTTTACTGCGAGAAGAGCTAGGAGTCTTGCTGGGTTTTCTACATCGTTTGGAGTACGTAGAGGATGACTGCTTTTGTGAATGATGCTTTTTCTCCTCTTTGCTCTGTAGGAGGACATTGTAGCTACTGGTTCCAGTGGTGAAAATGTCCTTTAGTATTCCGGGAGGTAAACGCGAGCCGCTTCTTTTGCTGTCAATGATCAAGGACTCCTCTGCACTGAGAACAGACTTCTTAGCCAGTTCTTGCTCAGGCCAGTGAAGCTTTTCTGTGTTAGTAAACAAAATCAAAACAAAAGAAATAACAAAGATGCCAGATGAAGCCAACTGCTTATTACATGAAAAGTATTCCAAAGGTTCTGTAAACTTTATAATTTTGCGTCTTTAGAAAAGATGTTTTAAGTATTAAAAGGATATATCACTAAACTTTGGGCATGCTAAACAAGGTCACTTCTATTTGAGTGTTTATATGCTAAATTACCTATAAAAGTCCACAGCTTCAAACCATTTAGCTGATCAACACTTAATATAGATGTGAGATAACACACACAAATAATCTGAATATTCAACTCTACCAAAGAATGTGGATTTCATAAAAGGATACAGTTTTCAATAGTATTACCAACATCAAAGTAAAATCCAAGGCACTTTCAAAGCCAATACAATCTTGAAATCTGACAGTTTATATAAAATGACCATCGGTAAAGGAAGGCTAACATTGCCTTATTGATCTCAAAAAGCACTTTTAAGATTAAATAAATGATATGTGTGTGTTCAAGCATCTTCTAGTAATGCCATTCAATATTAATTGGTTGATTTTCTTAATTCTAGGCTATAGGTTAAGATGAAAGAAAGTCAAGGTATTTTTCTTGCCATGTCTGAAAAAGATTGTAATTACTATTATATAGATACCAGTGTTATCAAATAGCAAATTAAGAGAGGTCGACTTCGTGTTTAGATCTCACAAGCGGTTTAAATAAATAAGGATCCTTTGATATACTGCTGCTCATGTGCTGCTTTGAGACTTGATTTGCGCGCTTCCATTACAGAAATACATGGAAAACTACTAATTGGGCACTGGCTCTAACATCTGTACCAATACATTGTTGCTGCCTTCAACGAGTTTCTAACCTGGCTCTGAAGGCAAGGCGGTCCTATGGAGATCTGAATAATAATACAAGGTACAATAGTAGAAGTTTAAATGTGAAAAACAAAAGCTATAGCCTAGACTTCAGACAAGGAAGAGAGCAATGTGAAGAGAAACAGATGAGGAGATTTCAGGTATACCCCCCCCCTTAAGAGCTTTAAGATTCAATTCTAAACTCACAAAGTGTCTGAGTTTGACTTAAATCCTGCTTCCCTGAACTAGACTCCAGCTAGAGTCCAAACTGTAACTCGGATCAAGTCTGCTCATAAACCTATGCTGAATCCTTTCTGCAAGTGCGACATATTATGATACTCCACTAGTTCTCTTTTCCAAGTCTCATGGACCATTTTGCCTCTAGCCCTCAACCTTTGGCCCCTACTACTGAGGCAAGTTCAACGCTAACTGACTTGGCCTGCCTTGCCAAGAAAGAGACCATTTATTTTATTTCCATTTTTTGAAAACTACTCATTCACATACATCTGTCATTCACTCATTCAAGATTACAAGTTCAGCGGTCCTTTCCACAATAAGTAGTAATAAATAATAACGACAACAACGGCAGCCACCATGTGTTGGCACACTTACACGAGTGTGGGATTTCACCCAAAACTATGTGTCATATCACACCTCAGAGAAGCTAAGTAATTGGCTCCAGGTTATATGGCAAGCAAGTAATAAACAGCAAACTGTGACTTGAATACAGGTGTGTCTGGTTGCAGAGTCCACGCTCATTCTCCTATGTGTGGTCATTCATTCAGTTGCCAACAGACATTCAGTAGTAAATTGGCTACATACACAGAACACAGCAGCCCAGGGAGATGCGGCGATGTGAATAACCAATGTAGTAAGACAGATACCAGGACCACGTTTGCGTCTTCTCCTTCTTCCCAGCGTTTAGCGTGGTGTCTGGCAGCCGCTCAGTAAAGGCACATTGAATGAGCGGCACGGTCTATGCCGTTCTCCAACTGCTGTGCATGCACTCGGAGTAACAGTTCTGGGACCATTTCTTATTTACACGAGGAGATCACTGCACAAGCAGAATTATAACAGGGAAGACCCTAAACCAATGGTTCTCAACCAGAGGCAGTTCTGCCCCCCAGGGGACAACTGGCAATGTCTGGAGACATTTTGGTGTCACCACTAGGGAGGGCCCCGGCAGCACCTTGTGGGTAGAGGTGAGAGACGATATTGAACATCCTTCCATGCACAGGGCAGCTCCTACAACAAAATCATCCATCTAAAATAGTGCCAAGGTAGAGACATAAGTTTAAATGTTAAGTTTTTAAAGCCCAGAAGTCAAAGGGTTGAGCGTAAAGAAACAGTACGAGGTCAAAAGTAAATAATAATAATCAGTATATGTAAGGTACTTACAAGTCCTTCTACTTAATATTTTCTAGGCCAACATGTGAAATTTGAATTCTGGGTGTCTAAAAGATAAAATAACATGCAGGAGTTAAAATAAGATGTCTACTACCTATCCCACCTGAGAGGCGAGAGGTAGGAGCTAGACTGCACAGGGTCATGTTGAAGGCTGATCGCACAAAGAGGCCATTCAATGCATGGTTAAGACCAGCCAAAAATAAACAGAACAAGCAAAACTTTCACTGCGGGTAGGCGGGCTCGGCGAACGCAGGCCAGGGAGCTCCAGGTCCCAGGCTGCGCCCCGGTGCCCACGGGCAGTGTCGACGTCCTGAAAGACCAGAGGTGACAGCGAAAGGAAGACTGAAATGCACGTGGAAAGGGAAACGGCAGAAGAACTGAGACGAGAACAAGGGTATCACAATCCCAGAGACGTCGGTGAGGACTAGGCAGGGCCAGGGAGGTAGGAGGAGGTGGCCAGCTTTTCTCATTGGGTCTTCACAAGGAGAAGCAGGGAAAGGACCTCAAATTAAAGTCAGTGAACAAAATTACTCGGAGGAATTCCTGATTTTCATGAGTTATTACACTTATGTAGGGTTGATTTTTTTACATGACAGATACCAGGACCAGTCAAAGTAAAAATGCTTTCTTTGGTTCCCAAGACTCGGCAGCTCTATGACCAAAGAGGTGAGCTCACAGAGTTCTGTTCTGTCATCAAGCACCACAGACCTCTCAGTTCATCATTTAATCCCATCTAGAACAACTTACACTTCAGGATACTTTTAAAAAGTCCAAAACCATCTGCCAAAACCCTCAAGGAGGAGGAGGCGCCGGGAGAGAGGTGACAGCTTGCGACAGAACCCCTCCCCAGGAGGTGCCGCCTCCATTTCAGTTCACTCGCTGATCCCCTCCCTGGGAGGCTGAGCCGCAGTCCTTCCCAAGCTCCCTCTCGGGGAGCTCGGGTCCGGAGGGCCCATGGTGTTTTCCTTTAACAAATGCCAGTGCTGTCGGAGACTGCTCTCCCACGGAGCCCCTCGCCGTGGGGCAGGGCGTCCTTCCCTCGCTCTCACAAGAAGGGTACAAATTCATCCCTCACTGTCGCCACCCTAATCTTATTTTCAGTTGTATGAAAAGTGAGAACGTGAAAGTTTTTTTGTCACTTTACTACTAAGAAAAAAATGATGTTTAAGCCTGGATAAGGACATAAGAAAAGCTCAGTAAAGAAGGTTTCATTGAAGAACATCCTATTCTAACTCCTTGTTCCTGAAAAAATCAAAACTTTTTTTTAAGTGTGAGCAGACCTCTTTGGGGGAAGAGTAACTCATCTTCCCTCCGAAGAGTAATAAGGTAACTAAAAAGTCATACTTTCTCATGTTAAAAGGCACTCTATTTTAGCCATCAGCAAGTTGCTTCACTGGAGCCTTGGAGTAAGTGAAAATAACCTGCTGATCAAAGAACTTACACAGAATCCCAGCGTGATTACCCACACTGAGGACAAGAGGGGAATATTACATTAAAACTGATACTCAGTACATTCCCACAGCTAGGTGACTAGACTGAAGTCACCACCACAATGAAAGCTCCGTTTGTATCTGGAACAGCAGCGAAGGGCAGCAGGACTCCTGGCTCCCCTCCCGCTTTCTCGGTGACCTCCCTGTAACAGGAGCCGGATTGTGGGGCCCATCAGGCCGCCTGGGCCTCCTCCGAAGGACTGGGGAGTGGGGAGCGCTGCTCCCGAAACTGTCAGCGTTTCATAGCTGTGAATAGGTGAGGTTTCACAGGGCTCACGAGGTCCCGGACTGAAGGGAGGCTACATCACCAGAAACAAAACCGAGTGGAAAATACCACTCAACCAATTTTGACCCACAAGGGGGCAATTCTATGTGGTTCGCTAATAGTTACGAAACTGGAGAACCTGGTATAATTTTACACCACAAAACAATAGGTTGCTTGATTACGAACAGAGGGAAACTCAAAACAAAACAAAATGGTCCCTGAATAAGATAAACACTTTTATGGAGTAGTTTAAAACTCCAATGATATAATATCAATCAACAGTAGAAAAGATGACTAAATTGTGGTGTGTTTATACAACAGAATAGTATATTGCAAGGAAAAAGAACAAACTGATGTTGCAAGCAACAATATAGATCAATCTCACAGGCAATATTGAGCAAACAAAACCATAAGAGCACATACTGTATAATTCCATTTATATGCAGTTCCAAAACAGGCAAAACTAATTTATGACATTAGAATCAGAACAATGGCTACCTTTGAGTGAGGGATTATAACCTAGGGAGAGGTACCAGGGGGAGGGCTAGAGACGCTCTATGTCTTGTTCTGGATAGTGGTTATATATGGACAAATTCCTCAGGCTACACACCTAAGACTTGTGTGTCTTAATGAATATAAGTTGCACCGTGATTGTTTCAATGGTTTATTAAAAATTAGTATCCTTGGAAACATACTCATTGCCCAACTGTCTGCATTACCATCGAGAAGCTATTAATTATATCATCGCTAAATTCATCAGCCCCCGCTATAGTTTCTTAACTGTAAGTTAAGAAAACAAGAGATGGGAAAATGCTGCTATTATAATTCAGGAACTGAGAAACCCAACTGTATTTCAGGATTCCCAAAAATGCTACCGTTCCGGCTAGGAGGACCCCAGTGTTACCCTATCAGTAACAATGATTCTTCACAATGGGACACTGTTGGGTTTTGGTTAGAAGCTATTGTATGTTATTTTTTACAGTTAGAAATATTCAGAGTATTCTATAATGCCAGAAAATGATGGTTGGGGTAAAAGAAACAGCATTAAACACTGTCTAAAACAAAGGTGAATGTGCCAGAAAACACACTTCCCCCTGGTTTTCCACTTAGGATGAAAACAGAACCACACTGCCTGAGGTCCCTGCACAGCGTCCGCGATCAGCCCACTCGCGCTTCCCTTCACTTGTCGGTCCCTCCCACTCTCTGCTCTCCAGACACAGCCCCTCTTCACTGTCTGTCCCATTGTTTGGGGACTTCTTCCCTCCCCTCTCTGTTGGGTTAATTTCCACTCATCCTTCCATTCAACCATGACTTGTTCAGCAAAGCTTCTCTGGGAGGTTCTGGAAAGCACGCGCCACGGCCACGGTTTTACACCTGCTGGTAGGATGGCCTTCCCCGACACTGGAATTGCACGGTCCAGTGTGGCAGGCATCTATCTGTGTCTGTCTTTGCTCACTGCTCTGCTTATGGAAAGATGGCCAGAGGGTAGCAAAGGGAAGAGAATATCTGAGAGGAGAGAAAGGATACAAGATTTGAATGCTGAGGATTGAGAAACAAATTGAACCAGGACAGCATAAAAAATGAAACAGCTAGTGATGTTGAAGACGAGCTTTAATGGCAGGCACCTACTACGGTGACAGAGCAAACAGGAGCTTTGGGCCAGAGTGTATTCATCCTGAAGGCCAAACCCTGACCTTAAGAAGACTTTGGTCTCCAGTATTTTTAAACATTCACCTTTGTTGCAAAGGAGCTTTATTTCGAGAGGACTCATTAATCATTTCTTATATCACATACCAAAAAAATGGGCAGTAAGAAATCATAAATTAACATAATCTTATATGGTTTCTGACAGCACTTTTCCACTCGTTGAATGAGCTAAATGTCTTCCTTTTTATTTTGAAAACAACAATTTTATAGTACAATATGATCTTTCCAGACCAAAATGTATAGGCTTGCCTGTGATAAAAACTTAAAAGACACTACCTTGAGTAAACTATCAGACCATGTACCACGGCTGTCCAATGAGATCTTCCTGTTGAATTGCATGGCTTAAATCAGTGTACAGTCATTGTAACAGTGTTGTGACTTTCAAGTGGTTGAGAACATGGGTTTGGGAGGGAGCTCCTCTGATCTGAACCTTGACTATTTATCAGGAACTGTGACCTTAACCAAGTTATGGAATTTGTGCTGTGGTTTCTTATCTGTGAAATGGGATAATAAACTACATACATCATAGTATGGGTTCGAGGAACAAAAAAATTATTATATGTTAAGTTGCTGAGAACAGTGCTGGGTTGTACAATAGTAAGCAGCCTATGTTAACGATTGGTATCGTTATTACATTCAGTATTACATTCAGCTCCTATAGAAATACTCCATGAAAAAATATAAATGGAAAAATATTTAGAATCATTAAATTTAGATTTCCAGGGTAAATTTAACATTAGGTAATTAATTCTACATTCTAGAACCAACATTTTGTGGCTTTAGTATAATAAACTATCTTCTTTTAAAATGATACGAAAAAGGCATAGGAACCTTTTCTGACTTGATTTCATTTTAAACAGCATATATAGCATACACATCTTCCCTATTTTAGTTCTCCAATCAGCAGTTACACCAGGATGTTATATTTAGATTATATTAAATCATGACCAGTATGTCAAAAGTAGGTGAGATATTATATAGGAAATGATTTCAGAAACAATTGCTTCAGTCCTGAAATTAAAAAACAATCAGTTTGTTCTATATTTATAGCTATTTTAAAGCTGGGGGGGGAAGGACACATTTCCATCAATATTCTCACCACAAATAACTAAGATCTGCTAACCAGAAGAACAGGGGCTTCTTCAGGATCAATGAATAGTGAGGGGATAGTGGGGGGGGGGGGCATGTTTTCAGCTAAATTCTCTGCATGAAGCTCCTGGCTGTCCCGATGGGACTTTCTGATACAGCAAGGAAATGCTGGGCACGGGCTGCTGGAACTACCATTTCAACTAGTCAAGTGCTCTATAAAAAAAAGTGGAAAAACTATTTTGAAAAACCACCTGGTCAATGATTTTTAAAGAAATTGTAAATGTGAGGCTTGAATTGTCTCAAATGGTCATTTGAATTTTTAATATACTCTAGAAATTCACAGCCAAATTATCTATCTCAAGGTAGTCAGCATGCAGAGTTGGATACGTATATTGCCTTTAAATTATGGGAAGGGAGCTGAGGTGAGAGGAGAGTGTCTACTGTTTTATAAAGCATCTCTCTTCAAACTTCCAGTTCTTCATACCACAAAAAAACCCAGGAGATCCACTTCGTGTTGCTGACTAGTTGGTCAGAACATTCACTTTCTAATACTATCATACTTGTGTTCTGTCTCTGGGATGATTGTTATGCTTTGGGGAAATTATTTTAATTGATTTTACTTCTAAATCATTATCTTTACTTCTAAGTCATTTTCTTTGACAGGATCTAACTGTATAAGGCTGAGGTTCTCAAAGGTGGAGGTGTTGGTAGTGTGATTTTGTCCTTAAGGGGACATTTGACAATGTCTGGAGACATTTTTGGTTGTCACAAGGGGAGGGTATCGCTCCTGGCACCTAGTGGATAGAGGCCAGGGATGCTGTTAAATGTTCTACAATGCACAGAACAGGCCTCCACAACAAAGTATTATCTATTAATTCAATGTTAACGGTGCCAAGGCCAAGACACTTGCTGCAAGACAAAAAGCTGGTAGGGTATTTTAAAGTAACTTTCAACATTCTCATTGTATTTTAAGCTAGAACAGCATTTATATGAAATCACATTTTAAAAAATATCCAATGCCAATTTAAGTGTCTCTTAGATCTTACATCCTGTTGTCATAGTTGTCTATGCTTCCTGTCAACAATGAAATAAATCACAGCAATGTTATGACTGAAGAAAATCAGCTCCATATTTCATGGAACATGAACTAAAATAGTATAAGGTTAAGATCATAAATATTTGGAAAGGAATTTAGTTTAACAATTTAAAAAATTCACAGAAAAAAATGGCCTATTAGGTACTGCAATGCCTTAAATGTAAAAAATTCTGGCTTTATTTTGACACTAGGGTTAGAATTAGTCATTTCCTTTTATTTTGTTGTTCTTCATCTTAATGCTGGACACGAGCTCTCCTTGCAGAAACGTTATGCAGAATCAAATGCTCGGAACATAGCCTAAAAAATTATTCTAATATTGTGTAAGATAATTTTTAATGATTAATATTCACAGTTGTTTTTATTTTAAATAATGAAGTCAAGTAAACTTTCTGACCTGGGGTCTGAACACCCATTTTTTTACACTTGGTATAGTACATACCAAAGTGACCTATTAAAAATATCAACTCAAAACGTCCTACTGACGTTTTGATAAAAGCATATATACAAATAAATAGTATAGATACTGATATATCAGATGTGTTCTTTTGGTTAGCTCTGATATGAACTCTAGAAAATTAGATCCTGAAATATTACAACGTCCATACCTAATATGTTTGCAAATAGAATTTAACAATGCGTGTGAGACTGTACATTTGTAGGGCCAGTAATCTGTGTATTAGGAGTCCCTTCGCTGGATTCCACAGCAAGGGCTTACTGATACAGGCGACAAAAGGAAAAAGGGCCGTTTTCCCCGTTCCGGACAGGTTCGCCGAGCACCTCCGGCCACGCAGGGTCCCGGGCGCCAGGTGGAGCGCCAGCGCGCGGAGTCCGCATCTACCGTTACCTCGGCCTCGGCCATCAGGACCCCGGCCCGCCCCGCACCCACCGCAAACGGCAGGGCAGACCCGGGCGACCCCCGCCAGCCCAGGGGCCAGCCCTTCCCGGCACTCACCAGTAACGCGAATGGACTCCAGCATCGTCCAGCCGGCGCTGCGGGCGGTGGGCTCCGCGGGCGCGGGGGGCGAGAGCCGGGAGGGCCGCCTCCAGCCTCCGGCCCGGGCCTCGGAGACGAGGGTGCGGGGAGGGTGCTGTCGGCGACCTAGGACAGGGTAAGGCGGGTAAAGACAGACAGAGATGCGGACAGACGGCGGTGAGCTGCGCTCGCTCCAGCACGCCGGAGACTGAAGCTGCAACAGCAGCCCTTCGGAGGGTAGCAGCGTTTAGAACCCGCGGCTGTGACGTTGCCGCACCCCCGTTACTAGGAAACGCTCCTCCCGTCCGCTGGCGCTGCCCTTCCCAGAGCCTTCGCGCCACTAGGGGCGCTCGCGCCTCGGGGCCTTGCTCGCGGGAAGCGAGAAGCGGGGACTGCAGCTCCCGGCGTGCACAGCGCAGGCCCGTGCCTCCGGGGCTCGTAGGCGGGGCCCCGGAACGGGTCGCGTCTCCACCGGCACGCGCGTTTTGACTGATGATCTGTACACGTGTCTGTGCGCGGTTGAAGACGGCTCAACAGGGCAATACCTTCGCAAGAGCGGGGTGGAGTAGTGTGAGGCTCCGCCCCGGCCGCCAACTGCGAAGCCGGTCTCCGGCGCCGTTTCGTTAACTTAGAAGGTGCGCAGAAGCTAAAACAACTTGAGGCTGAGCTGGTAATAATGAGCGCCTTCATTAGTTGAGGCAGCCCAAATACGTTTACCATGTGCGTACCCCACCATAATATCCTTAATTCTAAAATACAAATTCGAATTAATGACTGTGTGACTGATCGGGCTGCCTGTTGCTTTTCCGCTGATTGTTCCGTGGGAAATGTAGAGACAGAAGGGAAATGAAAGCGCTCTCAGGGAGCTTCCAGTCTAGAAGGGGTTCGTGAGACAGCGCTGGCGCTGGTTCAGAGTCTCCTTTTCTCTACCCCTCCTCGAGGCTGAGATGATAATGTAGGGAGAGGGGCCTGAGAGCGAACCGTCTCGGCTCGGAGCTCGAGGCTGCCCCAGGCACTCGCCCCTCCGGCATCGACAGGACACAGAAATAGCTGGCCTGTGTGTTTGAAATCAAGAACGGAGGAAAGCTGGTTATTACACCAGGCACATCACACTCCAAGAATGACAGAGAGCATGGGAGAATTTGTCTCTTTTTCATCAATTAGAGAACAGTGGGAGTGTAACTATTACAAGTAGTGGATTAACCCACATCCTATTTTGTCAGAAAAATCTTGGGAATACTATCTTCCAAGTACGTATCTATCCGGAATCCAGCCACTTCTCATGATCACCATCGGGCGCAACCCAGCACCATCTTTTATCTGCGTTATAGCTGGAGCCTCCTATGTCAACTATGCCCAGCACTGTTTCACGCCATGGCCTTTGCCAGTTGGGAGTTCCCCTACCTCGAATTCTGTTCCGCCAGATTCCGCGGGACAGGAGCTCCTCCGCTTCTTTCAGACTTAATCCAAACGCCACCTCTCAGCGAGGCCTTACCGGCTGCTCAGCTTAAAGTTCCACTCCTTGCTCAGACTTCCTATCCCATTCCCTGCTTCATTTGCTCCCCCTTTAACACTTAACTTTATCCAATTTATTATATATTTTGCTGATTTGTCTTATTGTCTGATATATTTTGCTGATTTGTCTTATTGTCTAAAATAAAATTCCTACAAGTGCAATGATTTCTGTGTGTTCACTGCTATATTTTCAGCATCTGGAATAGTGCCTGGCACACAGTTGGTACTCAATAAATTATTTGTAAGTTAACGAATAAGTAGACAATAGAAAAGTATGCATTTTCAATGATGAGTCAGAGAAAATAGAGTGCTATAAAATGGATATGTAAAGAAAATCTCTTCAGGTTAAAGCACTTGATATGGTAATGAACAATGAATGCTTTGCACTCATAAGAGCAGCTACTCTTGCAACATACGTCCTAGGGAAAAAGGCTGTAAATGAACCTTGCATACCAAGCTTCCTTAAACACCCCCCCAGCTTCCTTACACGCCTGAAACTCAGAAACCCACTTTCCAAGTTTGCTATAAATGCGTCTATTACTCCTGCAAACCTCTAGTTTTTAAAGTCACTGTTTCTCAAAAAGAAATAATAATAATAATGACGACTCCTAAAATTTTTTCTGAGCCATATGTTTGCATCTATGTGAAAAGTTTACTCTGAATGCTTTTACTAAAGCATGCTTAATCAGACTGTCCATTTTCATTATATTTCAAAGAAACCAAGATGCATTATTTTATTCATTCCTTTTATTTATATACAGAACACTGGGATTTGTTCTGTTAGAGTACAAACAAGACCCAATACTTATTCTCAAGACTGGTAGAGAAGGTTTTATACACACACACACACACACTGATGTGCACTAAAGGTATACCTCCTTCAACATTCATTAAACTTAATTCCAAAAATAGTCTGCTGCCCCTGTCGTTAGCCCACCTAGAATATTATTTCATTCTTTACTTTCAAAATTGCTTTTATGTTCACTCTACCAACATTTTCTTATGGGTCACTTTGATTTCTAAATATATCTACTGATAAATATTATATAAATATTATCAATTTAATCAAAGCATCTTTAAAATATACTTCCCCTGTACTATTTGGCATTGAAGTACTCTTGCTAAAAAATTCGTGAATACAAAGAGTTTATCTAATTTCTTACAAAACTAGTACTGTTATCAACTCCTGTTATGTTCCCGCCTACGCGATTATTTATCCTCATCAAGCTCTGTGCATCTGCTCTGTTAATTACTGATTCGTGCTATGCCTGCTTAGTATTTCCATTAGTGCAGCATCTGCAGCTGTCTGCTTGGCTGCTTTTGAGTCAGCATTGTCTTTGCATATCTGCCAGAACAATGAACAATTCCATCTTTCTGAGAAACTTTCCTTTGTACCTGTTTTCGTATAAATCATTAATATCAATTTAAAACAATTGATGTAACGATTCATTTTCAAAGCACTGACTGCAAAATAAGGTTAAAAACTTGTTAAAACTGACTTTAGTAAGTTGTTTATCTTAAGGATGCACCTTCTCCCCTCTTTAAAGTTTTCCTCACGTTCGATAATAGCCAAGAATATTGTAATTATCCTACTGCAGCATTGCACTGTCATTTCCTGGCCAGTTTTAGGTGCACTGCCAACATTACACTGTGGATTATTTTAATTTCTGAATACCTTTAACGATGATTTCTACTCAATTTAAATACAAAAAATAATAGGAAAATCATTATTTTAATAGAAATATTCTTTTAATGTTTCTATTAATATGTAGTTGGATTTTTATGTTATGAATAAAGAGCTTAAAGTTTTCTTATTTTATCAGTAACTTTATTTAGTTAACTCAAATGTTAATCTGCATATTTCATGTACCTGCTACATGGCAAACTATTCATAGTCTTGGGATAATACAGATTTAGTCCAAACATCTCTGTAATAAGAGAGGATTTTTTTTTTTTTTAGAAAAAAGAAATTAACATCCCCCCTTTGAAAGACTTAGAACACCTTTGATCATTTAACTGTCAATGGGGGAGCAGGCAATAAAGACCAAGAAAGAGGAAGAGAGAGATGGTGCAGACTGGAGAAGGCTGCTGGTAAGTGGTGCTAGTGCCGGTGGAGAGACAAATAGCTGTTAGATTTCATTCTTTTTTTAAAAAGAGTTTATTTATTTTTAGAGAGAGGGGAAGGAAGGGAGAAAGAGAGGGAGAGAAACAGGCCAGAGGTACATCGATTGGTTGCTTCTTACACGTCTCCAACTGGGGACCTGGCCCACAACCCTGGCACGTGCCCTGACTGGGAATCAAACAGGCGACCTTTCGGTTCGTAGGCTGCCACTCAATCCACTGAGCCATACCAGCTGGGACTAGATTTCACTTTCTACAGTAAAAGTTCAAGTTGTTGAGAACCTATAAAGCATATAATTTGCTGGATACTGAGAAAAAGTTCAATTTTGTAAGGTGAAGTTAGCTTAGTAACTTAAAAAAATTAGAACATTAAAATATTTATTTACTTTTAAATTTCAGGTGAAAATTTAAAAGAATGGGGGGAGCAGGGAGAAGTTTCAAGAAAAATCTTTCTGCCCTGGCTGATGTGGCTCAGTGGATTGAGTGCTGGCCTGAGAACCAAAGGGTTACTGGTTCGATTCCCAATCAGGGTACATGCCTGGGTTGCAGGCCAGGTGCCCCATTGGGGGCGTGTGAGAGACAACCACATACTGATGTTTCTCCCTCCCTCTCTCTCTCTTAAAATAAATCAATAAAGTCTTTTCTTTAAAAAAAAAGAAAAAACTTTCTTTCCTGTTCTGTTGGTATCAATTTATAACATTCTATGCTATTGGAAATATAGTGCAGAATTGAGGAAAGTTTGTCTGTAGCCTGCTGTTACACAAGAACAGGGCAACTCTAGCTGCAACCCCCCAGATTCTAACAAGCACTAACAGAAGCTTTGGGGCAAGCTGGAAACAATGCTCTGTCACTTAGACAAAAATCCAGGGAATAGTTGGTTTAGTGGCTTTTTTTTTTTTTAATTGTCATTTAAGTTGAGCGCTTTCAGGATATCTCTACTGAGAGTGGAATGTTTTCAGTTTGTGTTTTCCAGGAGAATGAAAAGCATTAAGAGGAAGCCCAATAAAAGAATGCCTTGTGAGACAGCCTCTGCCTTTGTGCTCCAATGAAAATAGAACAGCACAAAAATCCTGGGAAATGCTAATATTTTAGATTTTACTTATTTATTTTTTGGAGAGAGGGGAAGGGAGAGAGAAAGAAAGGGAGAGAAACATCAATTAGTTGCCCCTTGTGCGCTCCCTGACCAGGGGCTAAACAGCAACCCGGACGTGTGCGTTGACCAGGAATCAAACCAGTGACCTTTCACTTTGGTTGGTTGGCCCAACCAACTAAGCCACACCACTCAGGGCAACGCTGATTTTTTAAAAACAGGACATATTATTGTAAATGATTGGAGGTGGACAGATATTTTTGAATCAGACAAAAATTACTGCCCATCTTAATAATATTTGGAAGAAAACAAGATGCACATGGATTGCTCTACAGGTATTTATTAAGTGCGTATTATGGGCAGGATAAAAAATGATGAACAAGGCACAGCTCTGCCCTCAAAAGTTACCAATAGCGCACACACACCTATGTACATGTGATGTGCGTACATCAGCCAGTGCTTGAGCACGTGCATCAGGGTTGCCCTGGTGAGTAAAT